GAATAAAAAAATACAAAAAGAAAAACTTAAAAATTATACTTGAGTTTTTTTTTGATGAAAAAAAATATATATTTGAGTTTGAAAACCAAAGTGATTATGATCTTGCCACTTTTTTTTTTTTCTTTTTCTATAACCAGATTAAATTATACTTATTAATGAACTTAGTTAGAATTTCAAATACCATAAATCACACCTTTATAAAAATTAATAAATCAAATATATGAATTTAGCAAATACATGTGTAAAGAGATTATTGATTATCTTAACATTAATTGTTTTAATTGCAAATGTTACAAAATCATTAGTTTGGTTCATTTTAGTTTTCTTTAATAATTGTTTTTTTTTTTTTTTAAAAATTTGTGCTTTTGAACCAACCAATATTTTTTTGAAAATAATTTATTTTTAATATTCCACATGTTTACATTTTAAAATAATATTATTTGAAATAATAACATTATTGAACTATTTCTGTTTTAATAAAAATTCCTTTATAAAATTCAAATAAATATGATAAGTTATTTATATTTTATAATATTTTGTATTGAAAAAATAAGAAATTTTCATTCCATATGTAGAATTGGTTTGCTGCTAGAGTGTATATATACATGTGGGGATATATTTTCTGAATACCAACACGTGGCATGGTAACGCCGACGTGTCAGCCGAGGTGCCACGTGTCCTGGTCGTGACGCCGAGATGATCTCGGCGAGGCCAAGGTTAACTCCGAAGATATCGGAATCCGAGATAAGCGAATAAGGGACAAGAGTCCTAAAACGAAGAGGGGACTTAACCAAGATAAGGATAAAGCTCTTAGGGAGTTTATCTTTATCTCTTAAAGAGTCCAAAGTAAGCACTAAATTGGAGTTCATAGAAGTCATACTTCTAGTAGGACTTGGATTGAATATATTATAAAAGAGAGGCACCCCCGTGGGTCTAAGGTATGCAATTTATGTTTTGAGTATTAAGTTTTGCACTTGATTATCTTTGAGAGATATACTGACTTGATCGTCGGAGTGCCCCCGGGTGGAAGAACCACCGCCAGAGCCTTTTCTGTCTGTTTCAGGTTGCTGAAGCCATCTATTCTGTCTGTGCTCTCCAGTTGATCACTAAGCAGGCAGTGTGGTCAGATTTTCACCCACACAATACATATATAAACAAAATTGAATATGTAACTATAAAATAACGAACTGAACAATAAAATACGTAAAATCAAATCGTATATTCAAACCAAATCAAATTGAACAATTTAATCTAGATATAACCAATTTACAAATTTTTATTTTATTTTATTTTTTATCAATCCGAAATAGGAGTCATAAAAGCAAAGATTGAAAAAGTAAGAGACATAAGAGACAAAGAATAACGTATGTTATCCAAGTGAACAAATATAATAGGCGTCGAATACAAGAAGAGTATCAATGTGAAACATGTGATCAAGGAGGATGAAAACTCAAGTTTCCAAGCACTTTTTGGGCCAAAATGGATTCCTATTCCTTTATTTTCCTTATCATACGTCTCCTTCCGATCAGCAGATCAAATATACGTGATTTTATTTATTTATTTATTTTTAAAATCGGTAAGAGAATATATATATATATATATATAGATTATTGTGGGAAGAAAATCTAAATTACAACACTCTTAAATTCAAACAAGATTAGATCGTGGCCATCAGACCGAGCTAATATAGAGTTGGTCATAATGACCGCACGAGAACACCTTGGGAACGAACATGATTGAGGGTTAACTTGTTGATCCAAACTAATTTTCAAACCGAATACCAACATCTACTACATAAAGAAAATATAAAAAATAGGCAATTACTATTTAATAAAATCTACATGCAAATCTAGAATAGGGAAAAAAAATAAATTAATCCTTATATTTAGCAAGGATTGTTACCCCTGACCTCTCTTAGTTGAGGGTGCACCAAAATTGTCAACTGAACTAGTCTAGTTAATTAAACATATATGATATTTAAAGAGCCGTTAAACACATTATCTTATCATTCAAGAGTGTGTTATTTATTGCCATTGAAATCAAAATAAATTTCAAATAAAAAAAAAAATTGTACTTTGTTGTCAGTAATTTTTTTGCTAAAATGTAACAATATCACAAGGAAAATGAATTGTGGCCCTAAAAACAGTGACCCTAATGGCCCTAATTTCCTTTTCTGGATAAGTTTGTTTTTTTTTCTTTTTTTTTTTTGCCTTGTTTTTTTTTTTTTGTTGCCTTATATGGAAATTTAGGGGCATTCGGGCCCCTAAATTTCGAGCTACCAACCAAAACCGGTATCACAATTAGGGATCAATTTAATACATTAAATACCATGGAAATCAAAATAAATTTTGAAAAAAAAATTTTATACTTTGTCGTCAGTAATATTTTTGCCAAAATGTAACAATATCACAATTAGGGATCAATTTAATGCATTAAATACTTTTGATCAAAGTTGGCACAATTGAAGCTTTGAAAAACAAAATAACACAGCATGCACTTTAGCCACCAAAAGTAAAAATAACCCATATATAAATGGAATACAACTTTTTTTTTTTTTTATTAGCAAAAGAAAATTTATTGATGAAAATCAAATGTACAAAATACAAAGATGAACATGAATAAAGGGAGGCGAGTGCCAAAGCAACAAAGCAAACTAGACGATTCCAACTAGGTTGGGACCGGAAAGCAAGTCAATTAACTATTAGCACTACACCATGGCTGGAGAGAAATCAACCGAACAAACAAAAAGCAAAAGAAATACTAACCACTCCAACACCCAAAACACTGAACTTAATAATCTAGCTACACCTCATACCAAACAAAAACCCTCTTCCAATTTAGACCCTCATAACAAACAATCACCTGAAACCAATACCCCATCTCTTGAATTTTGGAAGCACCAATGATGCTTTCAGAAACTTCTTTTTCCTTTCTTTATTCCTTTGACTCGCATTGTTAAGATATGAGGCCTTATGAACACCTCCACCCTCATGTCTCCTAGAAGATTCCTTAATCTTGACCGAATTGCTACTCGCTATCGGAATAGAAGACTTTTCAACAATATCAACCCCTTCCTCTATTCCTTTTGGAGAAAAGTGAACTTGGCTCATAGGGTACTTGCACAATCTTATTTTTTCCAATCGAAACTCCAAGATCTATAGAAGTGGATTTGGGCCTCCAAAATAATGAATGAACACGCCCATATTTATGTTGTGGGCCAAGCACACTCCTTAAATTAAAAGGTATCATTTGCACCAAGTTTAGCACAACTTCTCCATAAAAATCATTTCTCTTCACACACCGATTGATAGTTGATGATGACTCGTTTGATTTGTTTGAATTTGAGGAAAGTACCGTTTTTTGTCTCTAAACTCTTTTTTCCCCATTGACAGAGATTTGATCATTCCCTGCACTAAATTTGAGTGCAACATCTTCATGAAAATCAAAGGTTTCACATATTCTAACAGGGTATTTGTTTCCTTTGTACTCCAAACTTATCACCGTATTTATAGGATTTATGCTATTTGTTAACAATCTGACCTTGCCATACTCAAGAGAATTTGAATTGTTAACTTCAACAACTTGGATTATCTCACCCCATAAGCTACCAATGCTTTTGAATGTGTTAGCATTCCATAAGTTAAATGGAACTCCATAACAGCACAACCAAACACATCTCTCATGATCGAGATTTACCTCTTTTCTCCATTCTGTTACTGAAACCCACCAATCATAGATCCACTCCTTTAGTTGGTTGTACCCTTCCTTCATAGCTTGTGATGAGTTGAAGGTTAGGACTACACTTCTACCTCCTCCTTTTCTGACTAATATCTCACCCAAACCTTTAAATGGAATACAACTTGGCTTCAAGTCAAGAGTGGCAGTGATAAAACTAAGAAGTTCAATCACCATATCTAGGTCCCGTTTAGAAAATTAGCTATTTTAGCCTAACTAAAAGAGTTGTATTTGAAAAAAGATTGAATTTTTTATAATTGGATGTGATATTTGTGAGAAATAAAATAAAATAATTATGGATTTGATGTGATATTTTGTTTTATTAACTATTTTAATTTAGGGCAAATTACAAACACCCCCCTCGAGATTTGGTAAAAATACAGATTCCTCCTGAGGTTTGAAAAATTACAAATTGCCCCCTGAGAGTCAAATTTTAATAACAAATTAAGAGAAATTAGGGGGGAATCTGTATGAAAATAAAAATCTCAGGGGGCAATTTGTTATGAAAATATAAATTTCAGTGGGCATGATGTAATTTCTCAAATCTCAGGGGGGAATCTGTATTTTCATCAAACCTCGAGGGGGTGTTTGTAATTTGCCCTTTAATTTATTTTGTCTTTTAATATTATTTTAGCCCAAAAAGTTAAAAAAGCCTCTTCCCAAATGAATCAGGATCCCCTCCTTGACTTTCTACTTCGTGGGTTATTGGGCCTACTTTTAGGCCCAATTTCGATGATTCGAACAATTCATATTTTAAGATTTATTGAGTATATCATACCTGTAAAAAATCAAATTGATTGAATATCAGAAAACATGTGTTCGGAAAACTGTTTATTAAATTTTTTTAAAAAATAGTTTTTAGTTTGATGATCCAAACACATGCTTTCTGATATCCGATCAACTTGATTTTTTACAGGTATAATATACTCAATAAGTTTTAAAATGTAAACAGTTCGCATCATCGAAATTAGGCCTAAAAGTAGGCCCAATGGCTTAACAAATAGGAAGTCAAGTAAGGAATTCAAGGAGGAGATCCTGGTTGCTTTCCAAACACCCTGCTAGTTGAATGACACTTTGGCTAAAGAGTAAAAAAGGACCATCGCTTTGAGAGTGAGAGATAGATAGATTTTCTTCATTACATGGTTGAGCATCTCAGGATTATAAAATAATTCTGAAAATTTATTACTATTTTAAAATTTTAGAATGAGTAGTATCACAATCCAATAATTAATAAATCCATTAAAATTTTAGAATGGATAGTATTGCAGTCCAATAATTAGTAAATTGATACCAAGAAATGTTGATCCTTTATTTTCTAGACAATAATGAAGGCCACGGCTAAGCATTCACACTCGCACACAGTAATTGTTGTACTTATAGTTTGTACTTTATTACAAGTTTTACTACTAGTTGCTTAAGAAGTTTAAGGCTTTCCCATATGACAAACTCTAGATAAAAAGTTTATGTTTAAGCAACCAAATTAACCCATTAAGTTTTAGAGTTCAAATTTAATACCAGCAAATTCTAAATTCTCTCTTGCAAATTTGGCTGAATTGGCTGCACGCGGAAGGCAAAAGGCATCTGGGACTGGAAATCTCGCACTCGCTGATGATATCCATTTTCCATCTCTCTGCTGCTCTCCATGTTCATCTCTTGCTGATGCTGCAGGTGACAACATAATAAGAATTTGAAAGAAGAAAAAAAATATTAGTACAAAATTAACACAGCTTCTATAAAAGTAATAGTTGACTTATATGTCATCTTTCTCAGGAAAAAATCAAAATCAATGTTATTAGTGTGACTTTACTGAGTGAACCAAAAACCTATCTCAGTAGAGCTCAGATATATATCAAGAACTAGCAAAGAGAATGGTATTTTTTTTTGGTTGATTATGACAAGGCAAGTATGACAAAAGCTAAAATGGTATAGCTATATAAGCCTATGATTACTGGCAAAGAACAATGAAGGAGAACATTACGAATGCAGAGATTACAATGTGCCGACTCTCTCTCTCTCACAATCCTCTCACGGAAGCTCACAAGATGATCATGACACTTGAACTCTAAAACAACCCAATATATACAAGATTTGAGAGCAGCTAAAAGGTCGAGATCACAATAGATGTAAATACAAGGACATACTTATCCCTCCACATAGGTGTTTGGTATGCTTTGTTTGAGCTGTGAGAATTCATGGCATATAGCTCAGAAAATCTGTGCCTTTTTTGGTGATTGTAGTGACTAAGTTGTCTGTTTTTTCTGAAAAAAACTCTCTCTCTAAAATAAACCTCCATCTCTAGCCTCTCCGATGGCCAGCCGGCCGCCGCCTTTGGCCATGGCGGTTGGCTGGCCTAGCTTTTCTTCCTGTGTTGATGCTTTTTTCTCCTAATAATCTTGAGCCCCCATTTGTTTTCCGCTTGTTCCCTTTTCAGATCTAATCTCTAGATTTGCTTAGGATGCTTTTGTTTTGAGTGCTTGTTTTTCTGCTTTGTTAGGTGGTTTTGGTGGGTTCTTTCTTCGAATGAAGAGGTTCGGTGGTAGTGTTGCTTCGGCCATGGTGTTCAGTTTCGGCCATGGGTTTCGGTTTAGGGTGGTTGCGTTGACCATGGGTGGGTTGGTTCAGGAACTTCATTCGGGCACTTCTCTGCGAGCGGGAGTTTGAGGGGTGGAGGATCCAGAGTTTAGGATCTTCATTCGAGCGCTCCGTGTGCGTGGGAGTTTGAGGGGTGATTTCTGTTCTACTCTATGGTGGTCGGAGCTTGTGTTCGGTTAAGAGGAGAATGGAGCGGGGTCTACAAAGAGGGGACTGCTCAGCGTTGTTGGTGAGGATCAACTGAGGGAGGTGTTTGGGAGAGGAAAACAGTGGGTGAAGTTTAAGATGGGAACTGGGTTTTCAAGGCAGAAGCATGGTGAAGGAGGAGAAACCAGAGGCAGAATCTGGGGTTGCTGAAGAAGAACCAAGGCGTGGGTGTCCGGCAATGGTGGTTCTCGACGGGTGGTTCTCCACGGCAATGGATTATGGAGGTTGAGTGCCCAAGAGAGTAAGGCGTGGGGCAGTCCGTCAATGGTGCAGGGTGTAAGATCGTGGGGCTCAAGAGTGTATCAGTGTTTGAGTCTGACGTGGGGTGTATTTCTGTGTGTTAGGTGGGGGCTCAAGTGTGTGTATTTTATTGTTTTTTATTTTTTTTTTATTTATTTATTTTTTTTCTAGTTGCTTTTCAAAATTTAAAACTGTGAGGCTAAGAGGTTGGTTGTAAGATCGCGAGTAGCAGCAGTAGGAGAGTGAGTTTTTACTCTTCGAATCTCTCTCAATGCATTTTATCTCCTTGTACCTTCAAATTTCATATTTTTAATGGAATTTTTCTTTGCCGATCAAAAAAAAAAAAGTTGTCTGTTTTTTCTGGTTTTTTTCTCCGTTGTGTTTTGCTCGTTGGTTTCTCACCAACTTGGAGGTTGGAGCTTGTTTTAGCTCCAAGTTTCACTTTATTGATGTAATTTTCCTTTTTCATCAATAAAGTTTTCTTTTGCCGATCAAAAAAAAAAAAAGTATGTACAGGCCATTGTTTGGGTCCAAAAAAAATACTTTAAGATTAGGTAGATTCTATCTGGGTGAGAGGCCATTGTTTGGGTCCATGAGACCCACAGACGAATCTTATTTTGATAATTCGAATTTTTCATTTTGTTAGACATTTTGTGTCTTTCTTCATGCACATAAAAAATTAAGTTAATTCAATAATTGTAATCTATTTAATTTATCGTATTTGTCATCTAAAAAATAAATGGTTTATTTTTTAAAACACAATTATCATTATTTTTTTGGGACAAACGCGATAAATTGAATAAACTATGATTATCGAATAGACTTAATTTTTTGTATGGATGCAATACACGAAGTGCTTGACAAAATGAATGATTCAGATCATTAATAAAATGAGACCCATAATAGGCCTAAACAACGCTTTCTAGTACAAATAATGAACTGGAGGGAATCCTCCTTTAAATTATTAGTTCAAATACATAATAATTCATTAGAGTAAAGCTCTCAAACTCAGCCTTGAAAATTATATCTAAATATTTTTTTTTATCGCAAAATAAAATAAATTTTATTAATGAAAACAAAATGCAGTATATCTGAATACATCAATAAAGCAAGGCAAGAGCAAAAAGTATCAAAGTGAGCCTCCTAATCCCAACTAGGTTGGCACCAAAAGAATCACCCAATCATGTGCAAGTTCAAGCTACAAAAGTTGGAGAGATACCAACAAAAATAAATAAACAACACTCAAACACTCTACCAAAATAACCACCCAAATCCTTGTTGGAAATGGTTATAAAATTCTAGATAAAATCAGATTTTTTTTTCTAAGTTTGGTCTATTTTTTAGGTGGGTCCCGTGCGTCGATTTACGCGGGTCAAAGTGGTAACGCGTTCTTTGTCGCGTTGTGATTCACGTGGTATATTTGGTTACTTAAAACCATTACCGAGTGAATGGAAAATTAAAACCAAAGTGTGCTCCATGGAAATGGAGTTTTGGTGGAAATTCCTTAAGGTTGTAAAATGGCTTGTCCCACATTGATTTGGTGGGAAATTTTGAATGGGTTTATAAGGCTTGGGTTTGGTACTTAGGGTGTGCCCCAAGGGTAGAGGGAGAGGTTATGGGCAAAATGGGCTAGACCCATTGGACCCAAACACCACACGCGCGCCGTTGTCGTTTGGGCTGGGCTTGGGTGTGTGGTTGGGTTGGGCTTGTTCGGCCCAATATTAATCTTTTTGGACCAAAAATATTTGAATTTAATTTTATTTTTGATAAAATAAAATCCAGAATTCAAAATTAAACTGGTTTGGTTTTACTGTACATCCAAACAGGGCCCTTCCCGGTTTTGAACCGGAATTAAACTGGTCCGGATTTACTGTACACCCAAACACGACCCTTCCCATTTTTGTTATCTGTTTGAATTGTAATCCAACAGATTCAAATCTGTTTGAATTCAAAACCAACAGGTTTCATACCTATTCAATTCAAAACCTACAGCCACCATTACATCTATAAATAGGACAACAAATTAAACTGGTTTGGTTTTACTGTACATCCAAACAAGGCCCTTCCCGGTTTTGAACCGGAATTAAACTGGTCCGGATTTACTGTATACCCAAACACGACCCTTCCCATTTTTGTTATCTGTTTGAATTGTAATCCAACAGATTCAAATCTGTTTGAATTCAAAACCAACAGGTTTTATACCTATTCAATTCAAAACCTACAGCCACCATTACATCTATAAATAGGACAGCCTTCATTTGGATTTTGTAATTCTAATTTTCGTCCTTCATAATTCTGCAGACATCCTTTTCATTTTGCTGCATTATTTTCTTGTCAGAGAGAGTATAAACACTTAGTGTGTTCGTTAGGCAAACAATTTGTAGTGCTGCTATTGTTTGTAGTAGATCATTTTATCCTGGGAGATAGACATCCAAATTCTGAAAGCACCGTGGAGAGTGCGAATCTGTCTTAAGGACACAGTGTCAAACACTGGACTTGATCAGATAATTATTCAAAGAAATTAATCAAGTAAGTTATTTAATTTATTTTCAGTGTTTTATTATTTATTTAAATCAGATTTTAATTTTGTTTTTATAACAAAATAAAAACTGTTTTTATTTATTTATTTTTATTTCGAGTTTGATTTTTATAATCAAACAAATTTTCTCATTTCCTTTATTTCTTTTATATTTTGTTTGTTGTTAAGTACACAAACTGAATTAATTAATTACAGTGAAGATTGTCCAACAATCCTAATAGAACACATAGCAATAACAGCAGCAACAGATTATCAATGATAAACTCCACCAACAGAATTATTAATGCCTAAATTTGAATTATTCATCTTGATGATTAATGTCCAAATGTTTTCATTTCAAATTTATAAATCCTAATGCAACCTAAAGCTATTCCACTATCTGTGATCAAATTTTGAGAACCAGTACACATGAATTATTTTTCTCCATATATGTATCATCAAAAAATGGTGCAGCTAAATATACATTAAAACTTGATAGGATATCTTCACAAGCCCATGTAGATCATCACCTTCTTCTTCAAGTGAAAAACAAATTAAATTAACTTAGCCTCTCATTAAGTTCAAGATTACCATATCAAACCATATTTTGTATTCTAAGCAATATGTGACACTATGCTTTCATTTCTAAATTTAATATCATTCATCACACGAAAATGACATCGGATACACTTTCATCACCACCCCTCAATAACATGTGCAAATTTGTGCAGATGAATGAATACACAAATTTTTAATGTCAGAAATAAGAATTATCAAAATTGATCACAGAACCGATCATAGAAGGCTCGTAGCTCTGTGAGTCAGTGTGTTTGATTGGACAGACTGGATAAGGAGAGATTAGAAGCCATCGGACTTGAATCTTGAGACTGTGAATCCCCCGAATTATTTGGTTGGATTGGATGTGTATTCCGTGTTTGTTTTTCTCATGAGATTAGATGTCTGGAAATAACTATTTTTAGTGAATCCAATGTTAAGTTGGATGGACTAGATAAAGATAAAGGTTTAAAAGACTATTTTACCCTTGCATTTTATAATTTATATTTTTTATTTAATATATAATTTTAAATTTGTAATCTATAATTTATAATTTAACACTAAATTTTTTTAATTTATAAGGCCATAATTTTTAATTAAATCAAAATTTTAATTTATAATTTATATTTTTTATTTAATATATAAATTTAATTTTTTAACAACACTAAAAAAAATTAATTTATAAGGCCATAATTTTTAATTTATATTTTTTATTTAATATATAATTTTAAATTAAAAACACTAAAAAAATAAGTTATAAATATTCAAAAAACTATTTTACTATTTTTCAATTGTTTACTAAATACTAACCTGAGGGAAAAATAGACATTTCATACATTAGTTCCCATGGGATTAGAATAATCCCACCCCCCTCCCTAAGATTGTTTAGTCCCTCATATGAGGGATATGGAATCCGGCCGGACTCCATGCCTGGCAAACTAAAATTACACCAAACGATGGACATTTCTCTTCATTGGATAAGCAATCCAAAACAATAAATAATCCCCCCCTCCCAATCCCTTGAATCAAACACACCCGGAGTGTTATGCAACCAATTTTTGTGTGCATAGTTGAACTACTTAACCAAAGAAAGTATAAATCAATGGACAGTCATGTCTTTGCAGGATGTACACATAGATTCGCATATTTGTAAATAAAAATTTATGTGCAACATGAATAGAGATGCATAAATATATGTTGGTGAGTTCGAAGATGAGAGAGCATACCAACATAAAATTGAGGTGCTTGTTCTCCTCCTCCAACATCTTTTTCTGATCAACATTCACCCACAATGCACGTAAGTCAATTAGTTGCAAAATCTCTTTAATATTTTAGTTTTTGTACTTCCAAACAAGTATAAAATGATCCAAATATAAACAAAATCAAGAAAGGTATCTTGGCTTCATCTGTACATACATTTTTCTCCATCATGTCAATGTACTCCATCTGTGACAAAAAGCATAAAGGAAGGTCAAGGATTAGTTTTTGTCGCTAGTCATTACTTGAGTAAATATTGAATAGAACAACGATATTATATGGTAGTAATATACAATATTGCTAATAATACCGTGTAATTTGTAAGATAATGTCAGCTTAGGATCATCGATTAGTCTCAAAAACCCTCTATCCTCGTGTTTCCCTCTGTCCCCATGTTTCAATTTACTGATAACCATTTGATTATGTCTCAAAAAATTTTGTATTTTAAAATTCTTGTGCATAAATTGGAACAGAGGTAGGGAGGATGTTTGGACAAAATCCCAGATAATGCTTACTAGCTATGTCATCAGACTTGCCTGTTTCTCGCGAACACTCCCTAGCCCATTTTCGAGGGCTTCCTCTATGGCCATGAGCTCTTTGTGGTGCAAAGATGTTATGTCTTCTCCTTTCAGGTGCCTGGAACATTAATTTACACAAGATGAGAGAGAGAGAGAGAGTGTGTGAAAGAGAAGACGCAAGTTATTACCTCAGCTCAATCTGCATGCTATCATTCTCTTTCTTGATTCTATCAAGTTCGATGCTGAGATTCTGTGGGTTTTAATTTTTTTTTCAAATTTAACAAGCACCCAGAAGTTAATTGATAGATCCAAAAAAGAAAAAGATACAGATCCAAAAAGGGTGTATGTAACATTTTACACTTGTTTGTGCGGTTTTGATCGAAGACTCACACATTACTTTGAAAGAGCCAGATAAAGAGAGAGTTCATTGATAGATCTATTCAAGAAAACACTTATATATGGTCCTGTAGACTAAAATCCATCAAATTACTTAGTTTTTGCATGGAAATGGAAGAGAGAGAATGACATTTTATTACCAGATCTGTCCATGGATGGAACATCTCATATAGATTTTAGAGCCTCTTTATCAACAAAAATTATAAAATAATGAAGAGGACAGAGATAGAGAGAACCACAACACATCCCATTAGTAGATCTGTTCATAGAATTCATATTTCAAGTTTCTTTGCATATTTTTAGCAAAGAAAACATGTCATTTTTTCACAAACAAGCAAAGAACATGAGATCCATTAGGGCAAAATACATAGACAGAAGGGATGAAAGAAAAAAAAAAAGACCAAGAGAGAGAATCAACCCTACCTCATGCTTAGCATCCCACAACCTCTCCCCAGACTGCTTGTGATACTTATCCAAGATGTCAACCAACCTTCATCAACATGAAAGTGAGAGGAACAAAAACAAAAAAATAAAAAATAAAAAAAATCAAACAAACCCATGAAGCACAAAACCAAAGAGAGAGAGGAACAAAAAAAACCCACAAAACATCAAAAAGAAAAAAAAAACAAAAAAACCTAAAAGATATATGTATTGTTTTGCAGATATACAAAAAGAAAAGTTAAAATGGAGGAGAGGAGGAGGAAGAAGAAGAGACTAACGTAGTGGAAGGGCTACAGTACTCATGCATCTTCCCAGAGCTGGCAAAGATGACAAGAGAGACCTGAGCATCACAAAGAACAGTGATCTCTTTAGCTTTCTTCATGATCCCATTCCTCCTCTTTGAGTAAGTTACTTGCCTGTTGCTTGAGTTTTCTATCCTTTTTATCTCTATCTTTCCTCTCCCCATTTCTCTCTCTTCCTGTCTCTTTATCTTTCTTCTTCTTCTTCTTCTTGATAAGGAAGAGATAAAGAGAACATAAATTTATGGGAAGAGAAGAGAGAGGAGAGTTAAAGTAATGGGGAGAGGTGCCTGTTTCCATTAAGGGTTGGAAGACAAGAAACTTTCAAATAGTCTCAGAAAAGATGGTTTGTATAAGGTCTGTTGACAAAGCCAAGCCAACTGCTAAGATTTGTTGTTTGATTTAAGTTGGCTTAGTTTGTCACACCTTTTTTAACCCCTTGTTGCACCTCTTAACCACTGGTTTCTCCCTCTCACCCCTCTACCTCTCTCCAAATAAACATATAATTACCCACATATATAAATCTACTTGTAAGTTGTATGGGTAGATGATCGTAATGGGGTCATTTAATCAAGTTGTAGGGACAGAATCAAAGTGGGAACACAACAGAAGCAGGGGGTGTGTGTCTTTGATGAGTAAAAAGGGTTTGTGCTTAGGGCATTGGAGTTTGTAAGGTCTTTCTACCTCCGTAGTTTTTTTTTTATTTTTTAATCAGAAAAAAATAAAGGTTATGTTTGATCTGTTTTTCAAAAGAAAAATGCTTGGGAGCACTAATTAGTGCTCCCACTAATTAGGTGGCAGTGGGTCCCGCCATTAATGATGTGATGTTTTGGTCTTGGAGTTGTATTTTTTTATTTTTTTTTTACTTTTTTAATGCATTAGTGCTATTAGTGGTGATATTTTTAGTGGGATGAATCATTGTTGTTTTCAAAAATAGTTTTCTATTTTTTAAAATAGAAACCAATTTGCTAAAAATAAATACTAAAAAAATAATTTTAAGTTTGCAAAAATTACTTTTGTTTCTCAAAAAGATAAAACTATATGAAAATAGTCAATATTTTTCATTTTTTTCAATTTTTTTGGGGGGGAGGAATTTATTGTACCCTTTTGTGGTTTAGGCTCGGAACACTTTACCCTTTATTATTTAAAAACATGTAGAAAATCTCTCTGTGATTTTGGACTAATTGCAATTGTTATAATATTCGTCAAAACTAAAGGAGAGTGGAGTATATGAGCCAATTTTGAGGATAGGATTCTTTTTTTTTTTTTTTAATTAATGTGAAATTAAAATCTAAGTAAAAGACTAGTTGAATTTTACTTAAATTTCACATTAATTAATGAGAAATAGTCTTTTTTCTCTTCAAATTTGCATTTTGCTGGGCTCTACTTCCTTACTGTATATACACATAAACATATATATAATTATGTGATATATGTAATTCTGGTCTTGGGTTAGAACTTCTGGTTTATTCAATGTGTATATATATATATATATATGTATAGAATTTCCCAAAATTTTCCTATATATCTATCTATCTCTGTGTATAAATCTGCATGTATATATGATTTAAATCTGTGTATGTGTATAAATAGTGGGGGTGTTTAGGAAGATAATAGCTAAGACAAAATATCATATTCAAATCATAATCATTTCACTTTTTTTCTCACAACCATGAAATTTAAAAAAAAAAAAAATCAACTATCATTCTAAACGCTAAAAATAGCTAAAAAGCCAATTAAAATAGGTAAGTTCCCAAACAAGCCCAGTGTATGTATATAAGTCTGTTGTTGTGTATACATTTCGAGATTTAATGCTGTTTAAATTATGAATTTTGTATATAATAAAAGAGAGGGGAATAAATTATGAGGACACAAATAAAGAAGAAAAGTGGTCATTTCAAGCCTGTCAGAGTTTGAGTTGCAATTTAGTCTAAAATTACAGAAGAGTTCTGTACCTATTTTTAAATTATAAGGGGCTAAAGTGCTCCGAATTTAAATAATAAGGAGATAAAGTGAATTTTATTTATTTATTTATTTTGATGTGTGTGTGTGTGTGTGTGTGTGTGTGTGTGTGTGTGTAAGAGAAAGAAGAACAATAGTTTGCATTTGTCCCACATTAATTTCTTTTAGGTGAGGAGTGGATCATCAAAGTTACATAAACCGAATAATCTACTAAAGTAATAGCATTTTCGGGTGAGACATTGGTGGGTATGATTGGGGTAATTATTATTATGAGTAATATTAGGGATCATGAAAAGAATATCATAAAATGTATGATTGGGGTAATTATTATTATGAGTAATATTAGGGATCGTGAAAAAAATATCATGAAATGCATCATGAAATTTTTTTATCATTTAATTAGTGTTGATTAGTATGTGGTGTTTTGTTATGTGTATAATTTAAAGATAAAGAATCTTTCATAATTATTTTCATAATATTTTTTTTATGATTTCTAACATGGTGCCGATCCCATAAGCTCAAAATTTCCATTCAAATTTATGAGGTATAAACAGCATTAATAGCTTGCACATGAAGACTTTTCAAACTAGTAGCAACTTGCTTGAATGCATATTAGGCCCTTTTGCATATAGACCCACTTTTTCTCTCTTAATTTTCTTGGCTAACAAACATGGATGACGTCGCATATTCTTTGCAGTCCCCCTGGATCTGCGCCGGGTTGATGGTTCACATTTTGTGAGCGTGTGAACGAAAAAATAAGATTTGATTGGTTTAAAATTGTGACTCTTTTAAAATGATAGACTACTACTTTGAATTAATTAAAATTTTATTTTATTTGTATATTTTGATAGTATGTGAACAAAATATAATTAGTAAGAAATATCTAATTTGACCAACAAAAATAAATAATGACGCTTTAGTCAATGATAAAGGTATATCCAAATTGGTTTGGATTAATTTTAAAAGGACAAATTGTCAAGCAAACGAACTTTAGCCGATAGAGAATTTTTAACTCATTGACAACCCATCCATCATCAAAATCAGTGGGTTGGTTCAATATATATTTTGAAAGTTTTAGACAAACAATTTGAGTGAGATGGGCATGTTAAAAATATAAGTAAAAAATAAAAATACCATTGAGCATACAATCTTTTTTAAAAAAAAATAATTTCAAACAACAAAAAATTTATTATATATTTCAAATCATGACACAATACTAACAAATTAATCGAATGTATGATATTATTTAAAATTATATTTCACAAGTCAATATTCAAATACATTCAAATTAAGAAAAAAAATATGTAAAATTATTACATTTTAAAAATATTAATTTTTTAAAATTACCCTTTGATAGTACATTTTTTTTGGAAATATCAATTGTAAAATTTACTAAATACCAAAAATACAAAAAAAAAAAAAAGAATTCAGTACATTTTTTGTATTTTTATGTATTTATTAATTTTATAAAATATTTTTTTATAAATTTTTTACTTTTTAGATACATCTAAGCAAGGTGCATCTAAAAAAGTACTCACCCACCCACACACTAAAAAGTATTCACTAAAAACAAAAAAATACGAAAACCAAAAAAGTCAATTTTCAAAAAGTTTAATTCAGAAAACTCAAACCAAACACACTGAATATTATGTGAGAATAGTATTTTTGCATTTGAAATTAGTGAATGGTTACAATTAAACTACATCCTATTTTACATGAATTCTTTTTAATTTTCTTATTTATATTTTTTTTTGGATAAGTAAGTCATATTATAACCAAAAAAGAAAAATATACAATGAAGTTCAACACACAGCTTTTGATGGGAGCACAAAAATAAACAAAATAAACTACATCAAAAAACAAACTGAGCTTATAGAAAACAAGCACAACATGCCCAACAAAACAAGGATTCAGAATTTCCTTCTAGCATTCTTCAAGTCATGAAGTTTCGCTTTAAGTTTTCTTCTGTTATCCTCTTTTGAAGTCTCCCCATAACTAGGATCACTTGGAGATGGACTCCCTCTATTTCTCAACTCTTGACTTGAATCTCCATTTCCTAACTCGTCCATATCACACGATTCAAGGACATCAAAGGCATTAGATGTTGAGGGGATAGAAGACTGCGTCTGTCTCTCTTTATTGATCAATGGCGTTGAACCTTGCCCATCTCTCTCATTTTTCTTTAACACTTCCCATTTAGTTCGAATTTGTGTTTTAGTGTCCTTGACTCTTCACTTATGTTTGAAGGAGGGAGGGTTCAAAGACTTTGGCTTTTGAGGGCACAAATTAGTGGTATGGCCAAAAGTCTTACAACCATTACACCTTTGGGGCTTCCATGGTACCTCAACTTGAATCTCATATGGGTCACCATAACCAAGATTTATCTTGAAAGACTTAGGGATCTCTTTATTTGCTGACACTTCAATACAAATTCTCGCAAACATAAGTCTGCTTCTCTTGAAAGTTGGCTCATCCAAATAAAGAGGAGTTCCCAAGATGCTAGCTATGTAACCCAAACCCTCTTCACTCCAAAGTTCCAAAGGAACATTGTACAACTTCACCCACAATGGCACACTTGAAAATTCACACTTTGTTAGTTTTAGTCCAGGTTGCCATTTTTTAATAACAATCAATCTAGCCCCAACATAATAGAGGCCATCTTCCAAGATTGTGTCCATAGCCTCGTCACTTTTACTTTAAAAATAAAAAAACCATTGTCAATGGAGACCACGTCCTAAAGCAAATTTCCCCAAAGTTTCTCCGCCCAAGTTTTCACATAATGGAAAGAGAATCTTTTATCAATGAAGTATCCAACCAAAGCATTTTCCCAATGAGAAAAGCCTTTTTTTGAGATCTCAATAGGGACATTGTAAATGCCATCTGCTTGGTTCTCAATCTTATGGGCACCTATTTTATACTTCAATTTTGACACCTTGTTAATCTCTTCTTTAATTAAAGAGCTCCCAACTTGTAGAGGTTTACCTGATATAGCAAGTGTATCCAGACCTTCACTACCATCTTCCATATGTAGATCAACCGAATCCTCATTTCTACAAGCTCGCACGGGCTTATCACTCTTTCGTTGCTTGGAACTCATTACTTCTTTCCTTTGATCAGCACTAAGTGAGCCAAATTTATTTGACAACATCATTTCGTTTGCCACCAATGGGGACACAGTGGTCAATTTTGGCCACTGCTCAACATCAATTAGCACTCTAGTTGGTGTGTTCCATGCATTAAGTGTTTGATGCTGCTTTGGTGATTGCTCAGGTG